AAATGCTGGAGAGGGTGTGGAGAAAAGGGAACCCTCTTACACTGTTGGTGGGAATGCAAATTAGTACAGCCACTATGGAAAACAGTGTGGAGATTTCTTAAAAAGCTGGAAATAGAACTGCCATATGACCCACTGGTTTTCAAAGCCCAGTGTTACGGAGCTCATCTTCCCAGTGTAGGGCCTCAGGCTGGGAATCTTGACGTGGGGCTCACACCCCTCACGCCTCAGGGGGCACCTCTCCAGCTGTGATACCCCTCCCCCTGGTGGGTCTTCACACTGTGGATGAGAATTATAACCAGGTTGCTTCTCTGTCCCCGTGTAGCCTTTTCCTTTTGTCCTGAATTGTAGAAAATCTGTCTTGCTAGTTTTCAGGTTGTTTTCAGAGTTGGTTGTGCCCTATGCAGTTGTGATTTGGTGTGTCCATGAGAGAGGATGAGCTCAGGATCGTTCTCATCTTCCATCTTGATCTGGAACCTCATTATAGTATTTTTCTGCAGTCAGAATCAGCCAAACATGAAAAGGCAAGGTTAGTGAATGAGCGGCAATGCTAACCTGTTGGTGCCCCCTAGTGGTAAGCCTTAAATTGCCAGAGTCATCTCGAACACTCTGAACTTGGGGGAATGAGGTAGAGGAAGGCAAGGTGGAAAGATGTTAAAAAAGAAAAAACAAAGAGAAAAAAAATCCTAAAAATGAAAGAAAACAAGAAAATTGAGTCTTGGAAAATAATTGGTTTTATTTATTTTGCAGCTTTCAGGAATGAGCTCTGAAAAGTCATGAAAATTTGCTTGTTTTAGTCCCAGCACTGAGCTGTGTGCTGCATGCTTACTTGCTCAGTCAAGTCTGACTCTGTGCCTCCATGGACTGTAGCCCGCCAGGCTCCTCTGTTCATGGGGACTCTCCAGGCAAGAATACTGGAGTGGGTCGCCATTACCTCCTCCAAGGTATCTTCCTGACCCAAGGATCGAACCCAGGTCTCCCACATTGCAGGCAGATTCTTTACCATCTGAGCCACCCAGAAAGCTAGAGCTAAGTGCTGGTGAGAACTCACTGACATAATATACCAACCATAGAGCTAAGTTCTGTTATTTTTCATCAGGTATAAGATGGGGACACTGAGATTATAATTTAAATATCTGGCCTGGAGTCAATCATATGAGATGAAGGGCTGACTGGTCCAGAGTCCAAACTTTCAACTGCTTCTATTCTGGCCTTTATTAATAATCATTTATAATGTCTGTAGCTAATAAGAATGATGCTGTCAACATATGTGTTTTGTATTCATTGCATCTTTAGGAATGAGCAAATAACTTCTTGATATAATAGAAGAAAACTTTATATACTTCTAATATTTTGATAACTGCATGATAATAAATATCTGTAAAATTCTGTAGAAAGGTTGAAATTTTTGATTAAAAAATTCCACTAGTTGATTAGATTTGTTTTTGTACATTGAAATTATTGCATTACTTAACAGCAGATTTGATCCAAAAGTCAACAACCATACCATCCGCAATGCACCCAATCTAGTTAGAGTTGACCCAAGATGCTCTAACTTCAGGAGTTAAATATTCCATTGCATGTGGAAAAGTATAAAGTGATATCTTGTCTTTTCTAAGTAATGCATCATGGACATATTTCCTTCATTATGAAGTGGTCTCTAGGAAATAGGCGCCAAACCCTTTATTCTAAACCATGCATTTCTATTTTTAATGACTTTTTTGTTATACAGTAATGGTTTAATGGTTACAGAGAAGCTTCTAGAACATTTTTTCATGTCAGCATTCTTTCACCACAGCATTACACAGGATTTTCCATTTGATTTTCTGCTCTTCTTCAAGCCCAAACTGAAATCATAGAACTGGAGGAAATATGTTCCTTTATTCTCACCAAATAAAATTCTTGCTTCTGTTTTACTTATACATGTTCACAGTAGCCTGAACCCAAAACCACACAGGCTGAATATGAAATATAAAATAGTTTGCTTGGAAAAACATTTACCCTATGAAGTAATTGTTACTAAATACTTTTGAATCAACAAACTGGTAACACTCAAATGGTTTTGAATAATATTTCTAATGTGAAATTGGCAAACTTTAGTCAATTTCAGTGAATGTATTGGGAGACCCAGGAAAATATTGTCTAGGAGAATTTTATTAATTAATATAACTCTGAGTGATTTCAGTTCTTCTCATGAAGCTCTCTCTCAACAGTTTTTTATTCTATGCATGCTTGTGGTATTATATTAGTTTTGCCAAGAATTGCTTTTATTAATTGTTTTACATTTTATTTTTAATATTATATGGTATTGTGTGTTTTGCTTGGTATTTATGAAGTATTTAGTAATTCTTGATACAGTTGAACTAGAAGATATTATGACTTCTTTTCATATCTTTGACTGAATGTATTCATGTTTGACTAATTTATAAAGACAGCCAATAGGAAAAGGAATCTATTTTTCTTAATCTGAAATCCCCCCAAATACACTCAATATTAGATATTGGATATGTTGAAATAATGTAAGATTTGTGGGTATGTCCTAATGTAGACCATGGTTAGTATTAGAATTATTCAGATCAAAGGTATTAAATCCAGGAACTGAAATGGGTGGAATGGGGGCTCTTAAGACCTTCTAGGAGGTGAGGCCTGGGTGCTGCCCAGGGATGTTTGGGCATAGTTTTGTTTTTCCTTCAGAGTGAAAATGTAGCCTTGCTGACAGTGGGGTTGGCTGCAGAGACAGGAGTAACTAATAACTACTAATATAGATTGTGTAAGAGCATAGAGATTTGAACAGGGATGAAACCTTAAGTAACAACAGTTTCTCTGCAGCACAAAATTCAGCTTCTCAGGTCTGATGGTATCAGGGCAATTGTAGGATCTCTTTAGGAATTCTTGGGGCCAAGCAACGCAGCACTGACACAGCTGTAGAACTGTGTAAGTCCACCTTGCATCTGGTAAGAGCTTACAGAAAGATTTTATTTGAATTTTATTTAAATTCAGACCTTTATCATTTTACTGAATTTGTGTGAGTGTGTATTTGAGAGGGATTTGGTTCTGGATGGTTTCATGCTGAAACATGGTTCTATTCATGAAACATGAAGTGGACTTTAACTGATTACTTTGAGAGTGTGCATTTTCTGCCTTACAAGCATACAGTTCACATCACTCTATTTCCTTTATAATCATCACTCAATTATTTACTTTTGATTTCTCTTTAAAGTGCTAATGGGCATACTGTGCTCATGTATTATAATGTTAATTTAAGTTTTATATTGTTTTATTTATTCTCTAGTTAGTATGTTTATAAAGACTTGTGTTTTCAAGTAGTGTGTGAGCCCCTTGTTGATGATCGTCGCTCTCATACAACTTTTGTTCTCCGCAAAGTGTGAACTGAATTGAGCCAAATAGAATCTAACTGAATTCCATTTTATGGAATTTAAGTTTGGGTTTTAAAACTAGAACTGTGTGCTGTATCTTGCACCATAATTGTGGCTACCACATGGACAAATGTTAAAGAGTCAAGATGTGAACATCAAAACAATGGCAGACTCTCCCTGCAGTAGAAAATACTTTATTTCATTGTCCTGATTTATGGAGGACCACTGCTGTTTTTTGAAAGCCTTGAAGATGCAGAGGTTTTCAGAGAAATACTGATGGTGCTCAATTTCCCTATCTTCCAAATTCCTCTTTTGGCCAGAGTCAACACATGTACATAAAAACAAATGTTATTCATTTGTTCAACTGAAGTGTCATCAAGAAAGGAGCTAGGAAAATGGAAAGGGGCTAGGAAGAAATAAATATTGATTGGTACCATCACTGTTCAATAAATATGTGTGATAAATGATCATTTTGGTAAATGCATCAAATGACGATAGAACTACTTTCCTATTAATAAATGTGCTCACATTATTATTAAAGTTAGACAGTTAGCATTAATATTCTCTGAATCATACTAGAGAACTTGTACATTTGGGTTGAACCAGGTGAATGAATTATCTTTCTCTCTCTCTTTGTGTCTCTCCACAAACTGGTCTTTGCAACAGTTTGCAACACAATTTTCTCGGCAAGGAAATCATCAGGAGAGATAGCTGTATCTTACATAAGGAGTTAAGTTCCTGGGTATTTCAAGGCTCAGTTTGAAGGAAGTTAGTTTCATTAGTTTTTAGTTATGGTTGAAAAACTGTGAGGGCCTTTGGACCTGTTTTGTTGAATTTGAGCTCCTATGATTTGACAGTCTTTTTGCATTAATCATTATAAGTAAAGTAAGAACATGTTCAAGTGAAATATCCTTCTTATTTTATCACTTGAGTTGCTCTGAAAGAAGAGCCAAGGTTAATATCCTCATAGTTTCTTTTCTTAAGTCTGTATTTGAAACTATAAATATCAGTACATGTTCATATAATATTAAATCCCATAAATTTTTTCTTTTCCAAAATTTAATTCCTATAAATAGCAGTTTCATGCTGTCAAGAGCTATGCTTGATGATTTGCGTCATTTGCAAGTTAAAACTCCCATTTTGGCCTATTCTTCTTTAATGATACTGTCTAAATTTCTTAAATTAAAAATCTACCTTATTTCTTTTTAGGGAATCCCAGGATTTCCTGGAAACCAAGGATTAATGGGACAAAAAGTAAGTACAACTGAAAGTTGAAAGATTTGGTCCTAGGATTTGTTTATGAAAAGGGCAAAGTGGTGATGTCTCTTCACATAGAATGTATTTTGTCACATTTATGGCAAGAGTTAATGGTTCAAATATGATGTGATTTTGGAAGGTATTATTTTGACCTTACAACTTGTTTTTCTTGTTTTATACAGGTAGTATAAATTTGAATTTACACACATGCTTTCCATTTTACTTGGTTACTTTCTATCTTGTTCTCTTAGACTGTCCTTTCAGGGCAAGTTTTCTATTTCCTGAACTATATCTTTAGAAATTCCTTTAGTACAAATATCTTGATTGTAAATGTTCAGTTTTTATGTAATTACTTCCCTGGTGGCTCAGATGGTAAAAGCGTCTGCTTACAATGCAAGAGACCTGGGTTTGATCCCCGGGTTGGGAAGATCCCCTGGAGAAGGAAATGGCAACCCACTTCAGTACTCTTGCCTGGAAAATTCCATGGACAGAGGAGCCTGGTAGGCTACAATCCATGGGGTGGCAAAGAGTCGGACACAACTGAGTGACTTCACTTCACTTATTTTACTCTTGTGTTTGAGAAAGGATTTTTGTAGGGTATACAGTTCAAGGTTAATGATTATTTCCTCTTGATACATTGAAGTTTTTCTACTATCATTTCCTGGCTTCCATGGTTAACTATGAAAAATCTGCTCTTGTTCTAATCATCATTCTTTTGCAAGTGATCTATCCCTTCTTTTGGCATTCTTTAAGGTATTTTATTTGTTTTCAGTGTTCTTAAAGCTCAGTGCAGTGTGTCTCGATATGGATTTACCTGTGTTCATCTTGGTGGGAATTCAGTTTCCTTGCTGGCTCTCTGAGGTATTTCTATTAGGTCTAAATGACATGGGCTGTTAATGTCCACATTACTTCTCTTCATTCTCCACTTTTCCCTTCCTCTAGAAAATCTAGTTAGACATATGTCATTCCTTCTAACTTTGTCCTCTCCATCTCTAAATTGCTTACTTTCATATCCTTGATCCTTAAATTCTGGTTAATGTTTTGGTTATGTTTTCCAGTTTATTTTCTATCTATTCTTCCTTTACTGTGCCTAACCTGCTGTTTAGACCATCAGTTGATACAAAAATATAAGAAATCATATTTTTCATTTCTAGAATTTCAAATTTTAATGATATCTTTTTACTCTTCTTTCTTGAAGTATAGCTGATTTACAGTGTTGTGTTAGTTTCAGATATACAGCAAAATCATTCAGATATATATATATATATATATATATATCTGAATGACTTTTTGGATTCTTTTTCCTTATGTGATGCGAAAGTTGCTTAGTTGTGTCCAACTCTTTGCGACCTCATGTACTATACAGTCCATGGAATTCTCCAGGCCAGAACACTGGAGTGGGTAGCAGTTCCCATCTCCAGGGGATCTTCTCAACCCAGGGATCAAACCCAGGTCTCCACATTGCAGGCAGATTCTTTACCAGCTGAGCCACAAGGGAAATATTAAATATAGTTCTCTGTGCTAATAGCGTCTTTTTATTCTTGATAGCCTCTTATTCTGTTTTCAGTTCTAATCGTCTTTGATGATTCTGTTCTTTCATTTGTAAAGACTTCAGATAGTAGCTCTGAATTCAGTTTCTAGCCATTCTAACACCTGCAGTTCATTGTTATTTCTCTTGATTCTCTTGTCTTGTGGTTTTCTGCTTCCCTTGTCTTGACTGTTGATTCTGAGCTCATTGCTTCATCCTAGCTGGCAGGCATCCTGTCAGCCTAGCTGAGGCTTGGGGAGCCTAGCTGCCTCCTGCTGGCAGGCCTGCATACCCCTTCAGCCCACTTTGAGAGTCTTAAGCCTTTGTAGGTGTTAAAGACTCCTGCCCTCTCCCGGTGGCTGCCCAGTGTTCGGTTTCCTAAAAGCTGAGCATGTACCCTCCACACCCCCAGCCCTCTGGTTTCCTGCATCTCTATCTCTGATGAGGTTTCTGCACAGTTCCAAATCTTCATAATTATAGTTGTAATCCAGAGTATATTTTATTAAAATAAAGGATCTTTGAAGACTTCCCCTACTTCTCATAAGGCCAGCACTCTCTCAAAGAGGATGAGGGCTTTTGTTCTTGATTCAGAGAATCTCTTGGAGTGTAAGGTCAACCACAGTCCCCAAAGTTGAAATCTAAATGTTATGATTTGCTCAGTCATGTCCAACTCTGTGATACCAGGGACTGTAGCCTGTCAGGCTCCTCTGTCTATGGAATTTTCCAGGCAAGAATACTGGAGTAGGTTCCTATTTCCTTCTCCAGAATGCTTTGCTAGGAAATTCCTAATGATGAATTGGTAATTTGCAATTTTAAACTTTATCTGTATTTGATTTTTAGGGAGACATTGGGCCTCCAGGACCGCTAGGGAAGAAAGGCGCTCCGGGAATACCTGTACGTTAGCGTCATTCTTTGGGGTGTTGAAATAGTGTTGCTATGTACCAAGAGTTCTCATTCTGAACCTCACACAATGCAAGTGTTCAGCAACAGGACGCACAGGCTCCACAACTGCCAATCCATTTGTATGAAAAAGATTTTGTCCATTTTTATAGAGGAGAATAGACTTCTTCAGCTTCTGAAAAAGTTGGCTATCCAAGAAAAGATCAAGAACTCTTACTGTAGCTAAACCAGAAAACAAATACTCCAGCTCTTTATTTAAAAAAATAAAAACAAAAAACCTGAGCACCACGAAAAGGTCTAAAAATAAATGTTCTTTTTTATTTTTTAGATAATTTACAAATTTAGTTATACAAATGAGGAAGAATACATTCAGAACAGGTAGTATGGGAAGATCCTGAATTAATGAGAAAATAATTTTGGAAGTGTTGGGAGTAAAGGGACATATGAGTTTGCTACTAAAAGTTATGAAAATCCTATGGTATATAAGACTCCATAAAAAATTTCTGAAAGTTATTACTAAAAGTGATGTGGATTTTAACCTATGAATCAAATTGCCTGTAACAGCTTTTTCTTTGAGTAAAAAATATCTGATAGTTTCTGACTTTTCATTTAATTATTTAAGTTTAAAAAGCAGGTATTTACCTTGTGAAAAGATTTGATAAAATTTTGGTGAAAGACTTGGATGGAATATTCTTCCTCTACCTCCATCGTCATGACCAAATTATTTTTTCATTGAAATATTAAACTTAATTATTTATCAGTATTTAAGTTAGTCTCCAGAAAATGAAAGTATTGAATAGAACTTCACTGAACTTAAAAAATAAGTATATTTAATATTTCTAATATTTGGAACACTATGCTATGAGTAGTATATTTTATATTTTATAATTGTAATAACAGCCTAAATTGATAGCAAAGCATAGTAGTGATGAAATGGTATTTTTAGTGTGACTATATTGAGATTCCATTTTCTGATAATGCTAAGTGAATATTTTTGCTTATCACATTTTTCTTGCTATGATAAAGAGAAAGCAAATGTTTTTAATACATATAATAGTATTTAAATTGAATCTAACTTATTTCCTTGTTGCTGGAGTAGTTATTCAGTGTTTTATTTTGAATCATATGATTAGTAAAAAATATGGCCATTTGTAACTTACAAATTATTATATTCAGAGAATTTATTAGATTTTAACACTTTAAAAACATTTATCAAAAAAAAATAAAAAATGTAAGTAAAATTGACCAAAATAATATCTAGGAAGAAATTTAAATGTTGATCATCATGAGAAAAGGAAGAAAGTGAGAGTGTTGGAAAAATAAACTTTTCTTTACAGTTGTTTTTTACTAACTTTCCAGTAATTTTTGCTATTGGTAGGTGATGTCAGCAACCAGTTATAAGGGCTTTGCTGGCCTTCATGTTATCTTGCATAACTTGATTCTTTATTCTCCTTTATTTGGTTGTATGAAGGGAAGTTTCCCATATGTTGCGTTATACTTTAGTGGATTAATTATGATGGGACTGTATAACTTGAAAATTGATCGACNTTTTTTTCTTTCTTTTTTTTTTTTTTTTACTTATTAGAGGATCAGATTGGGTACCTTCTGGCTTGACTTAAGAAACTATTCTTGACTATTTAATGAGTAGATTCTAGGATAGCTTTCTGAAAGAAAGGGATGGAATCTGCTCTTTTGAGAGCATTCATCCTTGAACAAGACCAGGGAAATAGATCCTGGCATACAACATGAGTTGTATGGCCTAATCTATTCTACTTTTAATTTCTAAAGTACCTTGAGAAAGAGATAGGATAAAATGTCGTGGGAGCCCAGTGAGTCAGGAAAAGTAGCTGCCCGATTACCAGGGGTGAACTCTGAAGGTCCTTGGAACATTGTGGGTCCCAGCAGTAAAAAGTGTCCCCCTGCCAAATGGACCTTCTCCATCATTTCTCAAGGTCATTTTGTAAGGAAAGTAGAGTATTTGTATGCTCCTTAAATAACTGGGATACAATGGACTCTCCCGTGATTCTGGATGCTCTAATTCTTAAGAATTGCAGCCTGAGATTTTATCAGCTTTTTAAAATTAGCCACTTCACATCATTGGCTCACACTGAGCTGGAGATCAATTAAATCTGTTGGACTTTCCATAAAAGATTTTAGAGCAATGTATTTGTGGCATCCACCCCTTGGGCAGGTCTGCTGATATGGCTGGCGAGTCAAGTGAGTCTAACATCCTAGTTTGTTTTTACATAAATTACTATGAAGTTTGATTTCCCCCATCTTGTACAATTTTAAAAATAGATTCAAGATGTTAAAATAGATTTTTAGCATCTACTTTTGAACCTATTTTGTTTCAAATAGACTCAAGATGTTAAAATTATACCTCTAAAATGTAATCTTTTTGGTGAAATGTTTGACCTTCTTTTCATGCAGTGTATTAGCTCAGGTCTTAGAATGTTTTTCTGTCAAGCACCAGACAGGACATGTTTTGGTCTTTGAGGGCCATATAGCTTCTGATACAGTCACCCAGCCCTGCTCTTAGAATGTCGAAGCAGCCACCATGTGGGTAGACTCACATTCCTGCACAACTTTATTTATAAAAACAGGCATTGGGCTGACTTAGCCCGCAGGTCATAGCTTATCTGCCTCTGTATCAGGAGTCTCCAACCTCTGGGCCTAGGTACCAGCCTGTTAGGACCTGGGCCACATAGCAGGAGGTGAGGGGTGGGGGAGCAGTGAAGCTTCATCTGCTGCTCCCCAGCGCTCCACATCACTGTGTTACCGCCTGGACCATCCCCCGCCCAGTCTGTGGGAACCTTGTCTTCCACGAAACCAGTCCCTGATGCCAAGAACTTTGAGGACTGCTGCTCTGTATTACTGTATCTCTCTGGTTTTGTCAACTAATATATTTGGGAACAATGCCTACAATATCAACAGACATAAGGTCAAGAGTAGGATAATAAAGCTGTGCAAGCAAGTCCGGTATGATGCTGAGACTCTGTGTAGATCTTTAGAGAACTTCCAATTTCAACTATAATATTTCTTTTTAGAATAGGTGTTGAGCCACACGTAAGTCTTTTTTACCATACCAGATTCCAGTTTTATAAAATATTATCTAAATGACATCAAAGTGCATTAACATAATCAAGTCATGTAGCTTTCAGCCAGTCCTGTCACCCCTGTGAGTTTCAACATAAGCGTTTGTAAAATTAGAAATTTTAAGGAACCTTGATGCTATGGTATAATCATGCTGTTAATGTGACAAATGCTTTAATTAAGTGCAAATATTAAGTTCATGTGGTTCTCAACATGAGCTGAGAATGAAGGTGGTTCCCTTTACTGATCACTACACCCGCCCCGCCCTACCCCACTACACACTACCCACTCTGGGTAGTCATCACCTCCTCTCCCAGGTGTCACACCAACCTCTTTAATAACAGGGTTTTGCCAGACATGGACAGGGTTATGATTTCAGGTGTCAGAGCATATTTGAAAGCCAGAACCACCTCTGACAATCCCTCCTGATGAACCAGGAGGCGGGTTGTCTCTTTTTGTAACCAATCCTGTTTTCCTGTCTTACATGCTTTGCTCTAATAAGTTGGTCTTGCTTTCCAAGTGTCTGTTAGCAGGGACTGTACTAGAATTCTAAAAAAGCATGCAAACTAAATGTTATCTGATTCATGTTTCTTCCAAAAGCCACTCAAAAGTGCATTTGAGGCTAATTTTCTTTCCTTAAGTTACATACTGAAAATGAGCTCTACAGAGAAAGTGAAACAGGGAAGGATGATGATTTCCAGCCTAGAGGATGCTATTAAGATACATGGGTCTGGCCTCTGCAACACAGACCTAGCTGATTAGGGCTGGTCCCTAAAGATTTTTTTTACTTGGAGCTACCAGCTTCAAACAGGCTCATTGAAGACTTGATAAATATGCAGACTCACTTCCTTGCTTAAAATAGTTTTTTTTTTAAATAAGAAGACCTAACATATAGATTCTATTTTTTCAAACAATTGGAAAGGTGAAACTGTATAAAAATTGTTTAAAATATGTTCCTTTAAATGTCTGGTGACTAAATATATATATGGTGACTAAATTCAAAATTTTAAATGATTTTGATGCATTGACAGGGAAATAAAGGTGAACCTGGACTTCAAGGGCTACCTGGGGCTTCTGGGCTCAAGGTAATTCATTGTGTTTTGATGCATTTGGAAATGTTTTCGAAGTATGCAGTCCTCTCATTTTTTTGGTGAGATTAACAGTTGTATTAAGAAAAGATATATGAAATAAAGGATGATCTATTAGCATAAAATTAAGGTACCTGAGTCAGTGGTGAATGTGGGCCAATTTCATTCTGTGTTTTGGATAATTTTATCATAGTTTGGGTAATAAAGGTATGGCATGTACCTTGGGTTTTCTAGAATTGGTAAAAGTTGGTTGCTAATGTGACTATCCTCTCTGGTCCAGAGAACATCACTCTTTCTGTGGCTGAGCAAGAGAGTGTGTGTGTGCATCTCCCAGGGTGGGAGATGATTGATGATGATTGATGGGACTTTATTTTCAGTTTGGGAGTCACAAATGCCTTACCAGTTTCCTCCAAACCAAATAGTTGATGTCACTCATTTAAAATTCTTTTCTAGCCTTTAAAAATCTAGAGTCATATTCATCAACTCACAAGGAGCAAAGAGAACAGAACTTAGTTTCCACAAAACAGAGTCATTTTTAGTTAATGTGACAAGAGTTTAGGACTAGTGGTAAAACAAACAAAGCAAAACCAAAACACCATGAAACATGTTTGGGAATACATCCTATCTCTTAAAATTTTAACCTAAATGTTGTTGAGACATCATCATTATATACTTTCACACTGTAAGTCTTTCTTATTTGAGGCATTTAAAAGAAAGGAAATATCTATGACATGATAGGGAATAGAAAATTCAGCTAAGATAACTCACAGAATATTCTTTGCTCTGAAAACAGCTCAAGAATTTATGTCTAAGAAAATAACATTCCAGATATATAAAGTAAAAATCATAAATGTGTATATTTAATGATAAGAATGTTCACCCAATATTATTTATAAAAATGGTGAAAATGAGTGTTTAGCAGTAGAAATTTTATTAAATATGGTAAATCAATACAATTGAATGATGTCCTATAATTTAAAAAAATTTTAAACATATAATGGTATATTAAAAATTTCAATATTAATATATTTTGAAGTAAAAAATATATTACAAAATTATGCATACCTAGCACATTGTAGTAACTAAGTTGCCTATATGTTTGTGAGAGGTAGAGGGAATATATATAACCAAATAAAAATATTGGGTAATGAAATTTTTAATAATTTTATCACTTCTTTTCATTACCAGTTTTGTAACAATAAATTTTTTGAAGGAGGATTTATGAGAGAAAGCAATTTCAAGGATGAAGAGAAATATTAGTAAATGCAAAGAGAGATACCCGTGTTTATTATTTTCATTGCTTAATTTTTTATGGTTGAAGTTATAAATATAAGAAAAATACCAAATATTTATGAAGCTTTCAAATATGATATGCTCTCAGAATTTCTTAACTAGAAAAGATAGGAGGAAGCATAAAAAAGTTTATTAGGACATCCATGGACTTTTCATTCTTTCCTAGTTCTGTAATAGTATCTCTGAATGTTAATAAAGTTTTTAACTATCAGTTTTAAGTTTGAGATGAATGTAGAGATACAAGCAGTGGGGCTGTTCACAAGCAGTGGGTCTGCGATGTTCATGTGATTTCTGTGTTATTTAGGGAGAACCAGGAGTGGTGGGTCCCCCAGGAGAACCAGGATACCTGGGTTTACCTGGAATTCAAGGGAAAAAGGTATGATTTTTAGGATACATAATTCATTGTTAATCAGCTGTGAACATGTAGGTTTTTCTTTTGGGCAAGTAGCATAGGAGGACCAATGATGCATTCAGTGGTGAGATGACCTACGTACTTGGTGAACATATAATGTGTTCAACCCCATGCTAAGAGCTGTGGCCTCTTTCATGTCCCTGCATAGGTACTGTCTCCTGCGTGAGGACCTTGGAAAAGATAGATCAGAAAACAAACAGTCAAGTCATATCCTGTAAATTCATATTGTTCAGTAGTCAATCCAGGAGAGTCAAGAATTTTTTAGGGAAAGTGTGACCGAGTCCAAGCTCGCTCTGCTCTCCACACGACTAGTCAGTAAATCCAAGAGATGAGTTTTGAGGCAAGGAGGAGCTGACTAAGAAGATGCAGGCTAGTGCCCCAAAATAACCTTCTTGTCAGGGCCTGGTTGCCAGGTTCTTTTAGGAATCAGAGATTGGGGGAGGTGAGGAAACAAAGGAAAAAGAGTGTTCAGTCCTTGCAAGTGTCCTATAGAATGGCAAGGCTCAGGCAGGGGGATGTGGTAGTTTCACTTCCCGACAGTCCTTCGTGGGTTGCTCAGGTTACCTCCCTCAGGCAGGCCGTTATATATGCTAACAATAACAAAAAAGGGTAAAAGTCACAGAAGCAGATTCAGTGTAAATTTAAAACTAACCCTTTCAGGTTACTGAAGGATTCAACTTGAGCCACTCTTAACCAAAGTATGAATATGTTTCCCAAACTGAAGCAAAAGTCAGAAATGATAAAAAATTACAACCAAAATGCTTGACCATGACATTCTTGTCTCTGAAACAATTATATTTCATAATGATTCATCTAAAATTAGAGTTTAAAATATAAGGCTTATATATTCACATAAAATATTTTGGGGAGATAAGAGAGCATTATGTTGGGTTCTCTATCCCGTTAAATAAAAGTGTTCTGAGTTGTATCTGTGTAAATATTATTGTTGGCTCGAAGGCTTTGAGCAAGAACTTAACTGGCTGTGTATCAGAGAACTCCACAGCCCTGAGTTAGTATCTGAACATTCAGGTTAAAAGTGACTGTACCAATTTTCTTCTGTAAAGGGTACAAATTCTTAGGTCTCCATCTTTGCATCCCTTGCTGTTTCAGTTTCGTATCATTTCATTTTTTCTATCCCTCTTGTGTTACCTGCTCGGGCCCTCAGTTATTGTACCCAGAGCGATCCTTTTTGCTCTGATGAGCGGCGGGCAGCACTTGTTGACACAGGGATGGTCCACACAGCAGAGATTAAGTGTTGGACTCTTCGTGGATAGAATTTACTTAATACTGTTGACTATAGAATTTACTTACTAAATCATGTGAATATATGTTTGGACTTAGAGAATTTCCTTGTTCAGAAACTTGCCAGTTAAAAGAAAACCTGTGTTTTATTTGCTGTAAGCACAAAACTCTATGTTTGGATAGCATGGTCCAAGTTCAACTTTGGGCAAATGCTTACCTTTCCTGATCTGTGTGTTCATCATAAGAGCAAAGACATTGAACTAGTTGGTTTCAAACATCTCTCCTGGCTGAGAAACTCCAGGAAACAATATTATGGTATATGACTTTTCCCCCCAAAAGTTAATTTTTGAAGCACATATTTTCTAAAATACCATTTCAACATTGTTTAATTTCATTGTTTCTTATAAATCTGTGGCTACTGTTAGCTGAATAGTAAGAAGACTTTTCAGTTTGATTTCATAAAACAAAATTTGTCAAGTCTTCTCTTTGTTGAACCTCAGATTGTCATCAATATGGAAAAGTTTTCTTCTTCCTTATAACAAAGAAATTGTAGTAAACTTTCTTTTGAATATAAGAGCACAAGAAAGTATTCATTTAGAACATCACTTTGACATAATGTGGTTTTACTCTCTTCCCAAATATTATGTTAGCTTCTGTATATAAGGCACTTGTGGAATTTGCATGAGACCATGTATTTTTCTTTGCTGAAGAAAAACATGTTTATTTGGAAGGATACAGAATATATTATATTATGCTACATATAAAACTGCCTTTTTGCAGGGGGACAAAGGAAATCAAGGTGAAAGGGGCATTCAGGTACGTTACTGGCTTTTTTTTGGCTTGCAATAAAATCAGGACTTCATGCTTTATTCTTGTAATATCTGTTCATTTATGTACTTTATGGTGTGTTGGTTTCCCAGATGATTTGACATGACTTATAGCACAAATAAATTTGATAAGACACTATTCACTCTACATATTAAACACATTCAAACTAATAAAAAGAAGGAGAATTATACCAGAAAATTAGATCAGGCTGAAGAAATCTAGGGTGATTTAGAAGGACATTTGGTTTTGGGTGTCTTAGCAAAAAAGGTGAAAAGAAGAAATGTGTTACAGCTTTGAGAGGAGAGGACAGTTCTACCTCAGTCCAAGTGGCTCTAGAAGAGATTTTTCCTTAACTGATCGCTGGTCCATGAATAGGACACAGCTGGCTGAATCAGTGACATACTGATCAGGAATAAACTGTATCTGTCAGCCTTTCAGTCTTTCATGTTCTAGAAATATATAAGATTTTTCCGACCAAAATTATAAATCTGGACAGACAGTATTTCAGTGATGTTTTTAAAATTACAGAGCTTAGTGATAGTGGCTGAATTTTGCTACATAAAATAAGCTTCACATAAAAACAAAGACACTGCAAAATTTCCCAGAATTTTCAAAATTTTGGGATATCTGGAGGCATAAAAGAAGACTTCAGGGTAAAAACTTGCTAGGGTCACAGTCTCAATGTGTTTCAGACAATGAAAGTGGAATTAAGCCCCTTCTCTGAAATCCACCACCCTGGTCGTTTCTTTTCCTGGGTACTGGGTGACTGAAGCATCATTCTAACTGGTCTCCTTGAGTCCAGTCACCCTTTCCCCCAACCATAAGAAATGTGTAAGTTGAAAGTGTAAAAGGTATTGGTTTGATCCATTTATATACTGCGATATGATTACTACTGTCGGGTCAGCTAATACCTTTATCATGTCACATTAGTTTGTTTTTGTTTTGAGAACAGTTAAGATTTAGTATCTTAGCCACTTTGAAGTTTGGAATTTAACTGCATATTTTGGAGATTAATTTGCTTAGCTTCTCACCACCCAGTAAGCAACTCAGGGGCACTCTTACAGGGTCCTGCCAGCAAATAGGGCCCCTGGGAATTCATGGCTGTAAGTAAATGAGAAAAACTGCTATTCAGGAGTGATTTAAAATTTCAGTCACTAGATCTTTAATTGATTGTATATCTAAGTGTATGTTTTACTAGACTATATTAATTACCCTTTCAACATAGGGATGAAATAGTGGTATTTCAGGGTCTGGCCCAATGTCTTATACAAGATGGATGTCTTATACAAAATATTAATTGAATGGACAAATATGTTTGTGTCTTTATTAAGTTTTATTTATTTGTCCCAATTTAAGGATCTTCTTTCAAAATATTTTTCACAGTGTAATTGTAAAATGTCTTTTAAATTTAAAATTTCTTTAAAGTGGTCTTCTTGCCCTCACATGTGCATAATCCACGCCAAACATAATGCCATTGAAATTAAGAAAATGACCACAGTCACTGGATTTTTTAACAATTTTCATGCTGTGAACATGGACTCCGCAGAACACCCTCAATTGTCTAACATGTTTTATTTACATGTTCCCCAAAGTCAGTAGTTTGTTCCTTGTCTCCGTCAATTTAGCTAGGCTAACTTTCCTCTCACTTCTTTTTTTCTCTTCTCTTGCATCATTTTGTATATTTGCATCACTGCTCTTGTGACCTTTGTTCTAGACAGCAGGAAAGTATATAGTATGTGTTGTATGTGTGAATGCATCATGTATGTGTAAAATAATAAATAACATTTATTCAATTTTAAAGGGTCAAAAGGGAGAAAGTGGAAGACCAGGGATTCCAGGATCACAGGTATTTTTCTTTTTTTTTTATGGAAAATGAATTAATGAATCACATAACTGAACGAGACTGAGAGAGAGTTACTTGCAAATAAAAGTGAGTGAGGAGAAGGGGAGGTGTAGTGTGCATTCTAAGTGCACAGGATGAGAGTCCTCGTGGTGATGGTGGTCAGGGCTTGCTTTGATCGCTTGATTTATGTTTTTATTTTCCCATGCTGATACTCTCTGTGGCTGTGAAACTTGATTTTCAATGCTTATGTGTGACCGAGTACATGACTAAAGGTCGGGACTTCCCTGGCGGGCCTGTGGTTAGGACTTTGCCTTATAGTGCAGGAGGCACAGTTTCAGTCCCTTGCAGGGAGCTGAGATCTCACATCTCTCAGCCAAAAATCCAAAATGTAAAAACAGCAGCAATATTGTAATAAATTCAATAAAGACTTTAAAAAATGGTCCACATTTTAAAAAATGACTGAAGGCAGACAATTCCGCCTGTTTCTTGGGAGTAATGGCCCGAGGCAGCCATCCATAGCAGCATCTCTGTACCTATTGTCGAGTTTTTATTTTTTTCTTAAAAATGTGAGCAGCTGAGGCCCTGCGTAGTGAAACGGTGAATCAACTTGTTTCCCTCTAGTTTGTTCAAAGATACAATTGGCCACCTTACAGACGCCTTAATCCTGTCTCTGGAGAACTGTGTCATGGAATAGATACATAATACATGCTTTTCTTCTTTTCTAAGAAACATTTAAATCAGAGTATAATTGCTGTCTTGCTTTCTGCTGTATGATGATGTGAACCAGCCATAAGCACTTTTATCTCCTTCCTCTTGAGCCTGGCTCCCAGCCCCATCCCAGTGCTCTAGGCCGTGCTCCACGAGCAACTTCCCACCAGCTATCTGTCATCCACATAGTAACCTGCGTGTTTCAGGGCTGACTTTCTTCTTCTTTGACTAAACTCCTCCTGAAGCCATGTTTCTGTGAGGTTGTCTCGTGGCGTGTAGGTTCAGTCAGAGCCAAACTGGACAAATAAAGTCGTCCCACTGATGGGGAGTGTAGGCGCAAGGCGGATCCTGTAGCTGCGCTGACCCTGCTGGAAGGGGGATGAAGCTTGAGGTGACGCCTCCAAGAGTGGAGTTTCTGGGTCCCTCACCTGGAGGGATGGGAGAGGCCCTGGCGGGTGGGAAGGCGCGTCTTAGAGGAAAGGTGAGGGCTGCGTGTTGGGAACTTGAGAGCCTAGAAGCCGAGCTGCAGAGCAGGCGTCGCTGAGTCCGCCCGTGTGCCGTGACGTCAGGGAGAAAGGCCTCAGTGTGGGCCCGCTCGCCCCACGGTAAACCCGGATGACAGGCGGCTCTGTCCTGCTCCTCGCTGCCCCGCTGTCTTCCCGGGTTAACTGCACGGCATCCTACGGCTCTTCTCTCAGGAGAGCCTCACCTCTTCATGAGGCAGCCTCCACAAGCCTGGCCGTTCCCCCCACGCTTTTACTCACGGAAACTCTGATAGGAGGCTATTCTTTTGCATTTTGAGCACACAATTTGGCTAGCTCACTGGTTGACAGATGACACTCTTCGCAAGGTTCCCTTAAAATGTTCTTCTTCTTTTTTTTCCCCCCTCACTTCTCAAGAGAAAAAGCAAGTCTGCTCCCCCAGGGCAGGATTTGGGTTCCCTGGAAAGCTCTGTCCTGGGTGTGTTGGCAGCTGAGTTTCCACCACCATGACCTGAGTCTGCAGAGGGGTCAGGGCAGCTGTGGCCTCTCAGCTGCTGCATGGTTGTCCCACCCCCCTAAGTAGACAAAGCCCCAAGTTACCTGTCATCCTACCAAGTGTTGCACGTGTGCGATTTGATGTTTTTTGGCCTTCTTCTTGTGAATGGAGTCCAAGCGAATGTTTCTCTCACAAGATCATCTAAGCGGATTCTCAGCTGACAGCTGTTTTCAGTTTCAGATCTAATTTGGTTCTCCTCCTGGGAACTTCTCTCTTTTTATCTTATCTTTCCCCTTACCTGGATCCAATTGGAGGATTCTATCTGGTAGCAGACATCTCTGCATTTCTTCAGAAACCTCTATATTTAAAGAATGACTTGACAAAGAGTGTTTTACTCACTGACTGATTTTTATATGAAAACTAAAATTTAGTGTCTTTATGCTCAAGTTTTGAGAATCTCCCTTTCTCTGTGTCAAACATTGATTTTCCCTAGTTTTCTTCTTCTGTCTCATTTGGATCTTCATGTTGAAGGAACCTAGGAATAAATCAACGTAAACCCTCAAACTTCATTGTTATACACAGAATTCTCTATTGAAATGTTTGTTATACACTGAATTTCATATTGAAATGTTACATACTGAATTTTATACTGAATTTCAGAACATGAATTTTTAACTTTACAGTTGATTGATGATCAACTGTATTTCAATAAAAATAATAAAGTTGATTAATGAAATCTCTCCTGTGTATTGTGAAAGCTATAGCCTTTGTTCTAAACTAATATTGGGTGAGTTTGGAACCTGAATGTACAATGAATTTAAAAAATGAACAATTATAGTGTATTTCCTAAAGGTTCTTATCATCGCTCAAAAATGTCACTGGAATGACTATGTAAACTTTAAAGGAACCATTCAGATGTATCCCATGATTGTGATGATGAGAGAGCTTCAGGTAAAGGTCCCTAGTTTATATCGTGGGAAGGAAAAACTGCCATATTTGTCAGCATGAAC